TATTGGCATATTATCTTTCCAGATCAAATGTAATATCAGGTAAATACTGCATTATGGCCACTGGATGGAGCGGATGAGCATATGAAATAAGTATTTATTTAAAGTGCACAGGAAGTATAGCAGAGCTCTCACTGTTGAGGTATCCAAACCTATAAGAAGCAAGAGTCTGACTCAGCCCACCAGGATTAATTGATAACTAAAATATCTCTTTGGAGTGGACTGGCTCTTTAAGAGATTGCACATGGGTAAGTGGTGAATTCAGTGAAAAATGGCAATGATAGGTGGCAAAACAGATCTGGGAATGGGGCCCCTATGGTGTTCTCCAAAGTTCTCTAGCACTTATACTAACATTGCTTGACACATTTACATGCATACACAAATAATGCTATAGAACCTTAGTCATAGTATACACATTTAAGAAAAAAAGTATAAGTAGATTAAAGACCGGAAACCCCTCCAGTCAGTCATTTTCTATTTTATGCTAGGTCAGAGATTATTGCATAACTGGGCATGTAACTTATTCTGGGCTCGTATTAGCTGAATGCATTGTAATGTATTAAACGCCAACTTTCCCTTTTAATGGGAAAGCGTTACAGCCTCTTTTTGGCTTTTATTGCTGTCTGTTCCCCTCACTTCCTGAGAGGAAGTGATGAGACATCCCTCCAATGTGGACACAGACAAAAACAAAGCACTTTTTTAGCACTGTGTGGGAGGGTTAGAATTTCCAACAATGTTTTTATAGCTGCCTATGCCTTCTGGTCACATTTATGCCTGTGCTCCCCATTTCCTTTATTGGTGCCACAGGGTAGGAAGTAGGAAACGTCTCCCCAGCAGGGTCACAGACAGAAATTAGAACCTTGCAGGCATTTTTACTCTTCCCCACGTTATCTCGGGCTGCAATTAGGCTGTAAGATATATATTTTTTTTTAAAGTACAGAAATTCCAAAAATAATTTTATTTGAAGAATATCTAAATCCAAAACCAAAAATTGTATATACTGAATCTTTTCTGGGCCTTAGCTTTGATGCCAAAACCAAAAATTGTATATACTGAATCTTTTCTGGGCCTTAGCTGTGATGCTAAAACCAAAAATTGTATATACTGAATCTTTTCTGGGCCTTAGCTGTGATGCCAAAACCAAAAATTGTATATACTGAATCTTTTCTGGGCCTTAGATGTGATGCCAAAACCAAAAATTGTATATACTGAATCTTTTCTGGGCCTTAGATGTGATGCCTGCATTAGTTTTCTCTTTCCGATTTCTGTTCCTCTTTTTTCACCAGGTGATTCTGCCAGTAACACTCTTCTTGTCCTAGGTTGACCTCACTTACTGCACTTTACAGAGTTGTCATCCTGGCATGCTCTCCTGAATTGAACTACAGCACCGCCTCCTCTCCATTGCATATGGAGGAGGGTTTTTGTAGTTCCCAAAAGAGAGCTGGCAAAGCTTATAACACTGTTTAAAATATCAGTTCTGTCCTTGCAGAAAAAAAGAAAACGAATGCACAACATTTGAGGAATAATAAGCTGCAATATATTATGTTTTTGTGGTTGAGTTTAGATGTCTTTTAATAGGGAATGTTCACACAAATGTGTTAGTGGTAGACAGTTCTGCATGCTGCATTTATGGTGCACTAACCTGCATTTGTATCCAAACAAGTCAAATGAAACAGGAGCCTTCAGAAAGGCAACATGTCTAAAACACATCAACGTTACATTTGTTAATAGAGGTATTTTGGTGTCAACAACCCCCTTATGAGATCTAAGTGATACATTGCATTTGAATCCTCTGATAAAAAGTAAAAGTAATGATTTAAAATCAAATATATGTAATGTTACCTTATGACGACTTATAAATGTTTTTACTAAAAGGTAACGCTTAGCTTAGGCTGCACTTTGACCAATTACCGTGGTATGAGTTTAAAAAAAAAGCAAACAGAACTTGTTTCTATTCTTCAGTTTTATTAAACACATTAATAAAAATGACAATGAAATTATTAACAATTTCTTCTTTTTTTTCTCTTTGGCCAAGGTGAATGCAAACAACATTTGAATGTTAGTCTTCTAAAGCAACTTCTAGATTAACAGAGATTAAAAAAAAGAAACATATGTCAACATAAGTATTCTTTAACTCCTTAGAACTGACGTCTTATTTTGCTCAAGGGCCAGACTCCTGTTCCTGCTGAACTGAGCCAGTATATTGGATAGAACTGATATCAGTTCAGTAGGCACAAGAGGACGGGCCCATCATCTGTGCAGAACAGAAGAAAGTGGAAACGTTCCCGTAAAGCTTTAGTAACGTACCATGACCAATCAAACAGATCAAAGTGGCCTTGGAATCATTTAATTACACAATCTGGTGCCAGGTCGAATGCCCATGCATAGTGTAACCTAAATCCATCATATCCAGTTACCACATCAAGAACAAGAGCATTCATGGCATTTTTCTCTAGGTTATGCCTTTTCTCTAATCCCCGATTTTATGCTTAGGTTTGCCAGAGATCTACAGTGCTACACGATAGCATTCTCATTCTGTGCCCGAGCCGGCTCCATCTCTCCCTCTCTTCAGGTGCAGAACTTAGCCACTGTGAACAAAGAGGACATTAATCACTGTTCACCAATCAGCTAAGCTCTGCACCTTGCTAGAAAGGCCAGTGTCAGTCGCTTAGAGCACAGGCAGATATTCTGCCAGTAATGATTTGTAGTACTGCTCTGCTCTTCTCTTCTTCCTTTCTGTGCTTAGGCGTTTATGGTCCCAATTTGTGCAGAGAGCTGGTCTTTCCATTGCAGCTGCCAAGGACATGGTTGTGTGGTAATCCCTGGCAATGTGATTTTAATCTTAACTCACAAATCAGCATGCCAGGAACCCAAACAGCCACACCAATACAACAGAATGGCTGAGAACATGAAACAATTTCCTTTCATCGTCCGCGGCCAGAATTCCGAATACTTCAAACAAACTAGACTCTTAAGCGTTCATATATGTTTGCTGTTTTGCCAGTGTTGATAGCTGGGATGTGATCTGCACAATTTACAGGAAACTCAACATGAAAAAACATTTGTTGTTAACACAGAAATCCTAAAAAGAGAAAAAAGATTAGACATGTGTTCTGCAGTTTCATTCGGAGTTATATAGTTTTGGCAATACTAGTTACCTAGCAGGCCAGTACTGCCTACATAGCAACTCATCCTATATGTCAAACAGCTCCTGTACACTTAATACATGGAGTCTGACACCAATAAGGCTGGGGTCATTTCATTTTATCCTTCTTTAGAATTAGGATTTGTGTACCATTAATGTTGCATAGTATCTAGGTTTAGTGACTTTATACCCTACCCTAACCAGGGGTAGGCAACCTTGGCATTACAGCTGTTTTGAAAGTATAAAACCCATGATGCATTGCAAGACTGACAGCCACTAGTATGACTCCAAGAGGCAGAGGCATAATAGTAGTTGTAGCTTCACCACAGCTGGAGTGCTGAGGTTGCCTACCCCTGCCCCACACTCACTTCATTTTGATCTATGAATTCATTTTATTAAAGTGTATCTAAACCCAAAAACAAAAGATGTATATTTTACAGGTAAACAGTCCTTAGATGAGGTGGCTACAATAGTTTTCTTTTTTTCAATCTATTTTTCCTTTCATTTTGCCAGGTGATCCTGCAAATAACACATTCCCTGTCCCTGGGTGGCTACTTCTTCATTGCATCTATGGTTGTCACACATGCTGAACTTCAAAATCTCTGCCTCTATCCATCTTCACAACATGGACAGAAGGAAGATAACACTTTCAATTCAGCTCCCTGGGAGTGACAAGGACACTACATTTCTAGAAAGATAATCAATTATTCTCTGTACTTGCTGAAATTGTAACAAAGAAAGCTAATGAAGCCACCATATCTAACAACAGATACAATATATTAAAATTGTGTTGTTGGGTTTAGTTATCCTATAAGTGATGTGTTCAGTGAAAACTTTGATCATTCAGACTGAACAACAGCCTAATAATACAAGTTTCCATCACAGAAGCACAAGAGGAACGGTAATTAGTAGCAAATATATGCTGCACCACAGTCTACTGTGTTAACTGAAAGCAGATTTTTAAATATTTATTACCCAATGTTCTTTCTATGGCTTCTTCCCACCTTTTCATTGCTTCTGTCAATTCATGTGCTACTCAGCAAATAGAAAAATGGCACCATGGATAAAATAGAGATGTGTCAATAAGTTCATTTCGAAATAACTAACTAAAATTTTCTCATATATTTATCAACTATGCTGTCCAAAAAAGGTTAATGGCATTCACGATGTCAGTGGAGCTGAATGTGACAAGCTTTCGCTAACGGAAATCTTCCACTCAGAAAAACTGACTCCAACTCTGTCAGATGTATTATTTCATTAGCGAAGTATCTAAACTATGTAGCACTACAGAAAACCTTCATACCAAACCAAATTGAATATGTGTTCAACTTGCATGTGCAAACACCAGCAAGGTTACCTCTGGGTATTCAAATATTGTGTAAGTGAAGGCCAAATCTAGAGCTTCATCTCACACAGAGAATTACAAAACGAAGAACCCGATAACATGATAGCCATGACTGATTCTGAGGATTTCGGGATTTATCTCCTATGACATATGCATTGTTTAGTGTAATAAACCCTTTAAGCGAGAATAATTTTGTTAAATCTAATACGCAAATAGAAAACGTGTCTCGTGTGTTTAACTGGTGCTTTATTACAGTGCTTAGCTCACTGGGGCTTATTTACACCTATAGAAAGCGGATCCCATATGTCAATGAATGAAAAAACGTGATGTGTTGCTGTAGGCAACAAATCCAGTTTTGTTCATCTTTTCATGCTTTAACCCCATCTAGATGTTCTGCTTCTGAATCGTAACAAAGGAATCAAGACATTTAGATACACAGTGCATATTATAAAAGTTATTAAAATATATTTTTTATTGTTTTTATATCTAGTGCATAGATTAAAAATCCTGGAAAAGACATCACATACAGTCTTACTGGCTAGGTATAGCAATATTTCCTTTCTCCATCCATTAGAAACATACTACACAGCCTGCACTACTTCTACTCTAGTACAGAGGGATGACATGAATGTGCTGGAGGACAGGCTCCAAATATGGCCTTGTTCTAGTACGAGTAATCCGCCCATAGTACAGCTCTTAATCCTATTCAGTTTAACTTGCATTAACATGACCACACTGAAAGCTTGGTCATTTCATCACAGCACTGAACTATGGAAGTCAATCCATTAAAACAACATCTCTCGCACCACTTTTACACAGGATACATCCATTTGATCTCTGACAACAGCAAAACATCTGTGTGCAAGTTCTTGCTGTCTGGCATCCTCGTTCAACATTAATTCTCCATAGAGATACACACCCATGGCCTGTGGAGAAGAAAAGAACAAATAAACACTTGCATTGCGAGATGATCCTTTGCTCAAACGCAGCTCCCATCCCATTCACACCCCATTATTTCTTTATCCTTTATTACTCACTACTAGTGGTGACAAACTAGCCAATTTAGTGAAGCTTTCAACATTTCAAATGTTCCCTTGAATATGTCCAAAACATACTTTAACACAGTGCAACATATACTAAACTGATGACCGCACTATGTATTTGTGCTTTTTAATGTTATGTTATGGCATGTACGTGGTAATTAAAGCAGTGTGTAATTAACTGTAGTGTGCAATCTATGTATACCCAAACCTACACAACACAAATGAGGACATGTAAAGTACAGGTGAAACTCAAATAATTAGAATATCGTGCAAAGTTCATTTATTTCACTAATGCAACTTAAAAAGGTGAAACTAATATATGAGATAGACTCATTACATGCAAAGCAAGATAATTCAAGCCGTGATTTGTCATAATTGTGATGATTATGGCTTGCAGCTCATGAAAACCCCAAATCCACAATCTCAGAAAATGAGAATATTACATGCAATCAATAAAACAAGGATTGTACATAGAACAATATCGGACCTCTGAAAAGTACAAGCATGCATATGTACTCAGTACTTGGTTTGGGCCCCTTTTGCAGAACTTACTGCAATTACTTTTACACGATATTCTAATTATTCGAGTTTCACCTGTATATGTGCAGCCAAAAAGTTGTATTTAGTTAGGATAGAATAGGAAAGGAGACAAACACCTGCCTTGGTCTGGTTAGGTAAAATTACCCTCTCTATTTGTCTTGGTGAATATTGTTGGGAAATGTAAAAGTTTACAGTTGCCACGAGAACAAGCGGCAAGGATACATATTTTAATAGGGACACCTGTTCTGGTGTCAACCTTGTAAGAGAAGAATTACCCTCAATTTGTATAGATTTCTTCTGACTTCCTGTTGTGTGGGACAGGAAGTGAATCTCCCCAAAGAGACACTAACAGCTCAAATTAAACTGATGGGGGTGTTAGGTCTTCTCTATTCTATCCAAAACGAAATCATGGCTATATATACGTTTTATTCAAGCAGTACATTCAAACAGTCTACAAAACTTGTGAAATAAAATCAGTTATGGTTCAACATTTAAGTATTTAAAATTCAAGAAAATAATTTAGAACCATAAAATCACAAATTAAAGAAGTGTCAATAGACATCAGATGATCCTCACCTGAGGTGACTATCATGTGGCCTAAGGGCATCTTCTGTCCATTTAGCTACTCGGGGAAAAGGTTAGAATTTCCTGGCCGGTAGACTACTGATCCATCGAGATAAAGCTGGCATTAAGGGTCCATGCTGAGTTTATGGACAGCGCAAGCTGTGTGCCTGTCGCCGCTCCAAGACTGTTTGGCAGTTGGACTGTTTACTAATGTATGACTGCCATCTGATGTCTCTAACCACCTTAATATATCCATTATCAGACAAACTACAGATACAAGCTTACAATGTGTTTTGGTCAGTTTGGGACAAGTAGTTATGTAACAAAACCTGGCTTAGAGGTCAAACTGCCAGTATTGTTAATCACCTGGGGAGGACGTCCAAGAGAGTAAAAGTTGCATAATAGTTCTAAAAAAAACTGCATTTAATTGAAATAGCCGTGCATCAAAGTCTTTTATCGTGAACAATATTCAACAGATTTTCTAAGTTATTTCATGTCATTAAACTGTTAAATATCGTAAGACTTGTTATGTTCATTGTCTATGTGTGCACTATGGCTTCCTGCAGCTGGACTGGATTTGAATATGCCTCACAAGATGAAATAGTCTGGGAAACTCTAGTGCAAACATGCAATCTTGCCAATTAGCCTTTATGTTATGCACAGCAAAAACTAATTTTGTGAGATGAACTCAGCTCTAAGAGAACAAATCATACACACATTCAATGTTCTGCTTTAATATTATGTAAAAGGGTAGGCTGATTTCTACAGGAAAACATTCGTACCACCAATATGAATTGCCTCCGTATGTCCAATCTGAAGACACCTCTCCCCTCTAGAGATACATACAGTATACAGCAAAAAAGGGAATTGGGGTTTAATGAGATGTCATAGTCATTGCACAAGTAAAATCATAAATACATTTATTGTTACATAGTTTTACATGATAGCAGTATACCACCTTATGTGGATCTATCTGTCCCCAAACTTTTTTTACATAAATTGCAAGGCTATAGTCCGGTCATGCTGACTGGTGAAATTTTTGACTGACTGGTGAGACACTATCAAATTTTTCAAGCCCTGTATATATCTATACAGTATATATACAGTATATATATGAATTATGGTTATTAATTTTCTAGGGGCATATATAGGTAATATGGGGGCAATCATGTTTTTATGATCTGGTGAATATCTTTTATTCTGCTATCATGTGAATCTATGTTACAATACATTTATTTATGATTTCACTTGTGAAATGACTATGACATCTCATTAAACCCCAATTCCCTTTTTGCTGTACAGGAAAACATTTACTAAATGACAGGCCATTAGTTAACCTCAAGCAGTTATTTAATACTAGTGTATACCCAGTACCATCTAAGTAGAACACAGAAAAGAACCGTATACAGATCAGTCCAAATGATATAAAAACAATCTGAGATATCAGATAACTGCTCAGACCATTTTCAGTCAGATTGGAGGACAGTCTTAGGCATCTGGCTGACCCCCCAAAACCTAACAACTGACTTCTGGAGGGCACACCAAAATCTTTCCCTAGGAGATAAATGGAATTAGCACCATTCTATAGAAACAAACATGGCCAAACAGCAAGTTCATGTTTATATGTTTACAGCAGTGCCTGGGGGTGGTCAGATCATGACTGAACATGCAAGCACTCTCTGAGGTCTATGGGCAACCTAATCATTAACTTAAAAATATTCTGTCTGTGAAGATTCTCATTCATCCAGGTCATGGTATATCTGTAAAAAAATAAGTCAAGGCAACTGGACTTGTTGTATTTTTCTTGAAGACGTTTCACTGGGACCAGCTTTGTCAATTCAGAATGACTTGTACAAAAATTCTCTGTAATAACAGCTCCTAGCTCCAGTTATGCAAATGCAATAAATACCTGGTTGCAATTAACAGAATATGTGAATTGGAACACCATTCACCATATTTATTCCCAGATAATTTTTGTACAATTCATTCTGAATTGAGAAAGCTGGTCGGCTGACCAGTAAATGGTCTTCAAGAAAAATACAGCAAGTCCAGTTGACTTGACTTATTGTTTTTATAGATTTAACAACATTATGATCACATGAACATATGGGAACAATGGAAACAAAGCTATAAGCACAACAGCAAGTAACATGCATGCTAAACAGAGTGTGTATGAATGAATCCACATTGTAGGAAATACAGGCACGAGAGGAATTGTTTATAAAATGCTCCTTTGTGCCGTAATTGTGAATGTAGAACACCACTGGAAGTAGTGTCCTACTTTGAGTCATAAGGCAAAATGAGATCCTCAACTCTGCTATGCCCATTTAAGGTGCAATCTGAGATCATACTCTCACCTCCCCAAATGGCAATAATGTTCTTGATCCCATTCAACAATGCTAGACAAGAGCTTTTATAGCCTGTATAACTATGCCAACAACATTTTTCTCAGGCCCTTTATCCTGATTCTTGACTTGTGTAATTATCGTGCATGATAATAAATAACAAAAGAAAAAAAACTCATATAGCAGTGTCCCTCTGTGTAGAACCGGAAAGAACAGCCCGTTCATAACTGTTAAATGTAAAAGGAAGTGGCTGGCCTCTATCTTTTTCCTGACACATTTTTGCTTGCAAGTCTCCGGTCCTATGAATTGGTTAGAAATAAATTAAGGTAAGCCAAATAAATTAAATATGATTGGATTTCTGATGTCAGCTCCTGATTTAAGCCATAGGGCAAAACAAGGTACTCCACTCCAAGGTGGATCCACAATTCCATTCTCGTCAGTGAAGATACAGCCTGGGGCTAGAGTTTGAAAGTTGTGCTTAGTGACACATCAGTCCTTGTTTCATGCTTGAACTGCAGAAATATCAGCTGGAAGCTAATTGGCTGCTATGTTCAAGAAGAGATTTTTTCTACACCGCATGTTTCATACACAAGCCCCAATATTCTTACCTCTGTAAATGATGCTTCTCATTCATTACACTTTAACATAAATGTATTTTCTAGAAAGTTTTAGGGGTAAGAAATGACCGTAAAATGACAGGCTCCTTAGCAGGCTTCAAGTTGTGATGGAACTTAGTGAAGCCTACTGAAGTCCGCTATCACCTGGGTCCTGCTTAATGACTGCTTAGACTGTAATGGAAATCATTGAAATCTGACTGTACATTAAACTTTAGCTTGTATAAACAACAAAAACTGTAAATACTTACCTTTCCTAAGAAAAAGCTGGCTCCCTTCAGTGCTTCTCAAAAAGATTTTTGGTCAAATGATCTCTGCTGAAGGGGAGGATCAGCAAACCTGAATGTTACTCATCCTTTGCAACAACGATCACATTACCAGCTACTTGCGCCTTTGGCAATGTGTGTAGGCAACCATTAAAAGATTAAAAGATAAGGATTTCAGCCCTTCCACTACACTTTACTTATTTAACCCAGCAATGCAGTTAATACAGCTTATGTTAACATTTGTGTACATGTTTAATCTCATAAAGATGAATATCAGAAGCAATAAATGGATCTTTACATTTACATACCTGGTCCTGCAGTAGGAATATTTCCACATCCTTATAGGCTGCAGTATACTTATGTTTTATGACCAGCTCACACCATCTGTGCCGAACCTAAAAAAGAAATATTGATAAGTTAATGAACAACATTCATATCAAGACAATTAATATGTTCTGTACAATAAAGTAAACCTATCAAAAAGAAAAAAATATCAGTGAATGACATGGTAGATGGGAACAGGACAGGTAAATAAAGGGGCCTGCTTTACACAGGGGAGGCCGCTTTTTTCCACTGTTGACAATTGTTACTGGATTAGGTTTGCCCTCTTCTTTTCTGGAGGCAGCTCCAAACTTTTAGGCTGCCCTACATTTCAGTCTCAATGGCACTGGTAATCAGCACAAAACACGTAAGCAAATCTCCTAAACAGGGGAAAAGACACCCACAAAACCCCTTTACTGTGACCTGGCATGTGGGATACATGATAGTTACCATTGGTGACCTCTACTTCTTAAAAAAGGCTACCTGCCTGGCTGTCATATGGACCGTCTGGCTTTAATACTTTGCTAAGGGAACCAAGACAGGTGAGGATTGAAGGAGTTTGGTCTTCACGTTGACTTTTCTGATATGCACACTTGTTAGGGGCAGTGACTTTGAAGATACTAAAGCTAGACATCCAGTAATGTGGCCAAGAAACTAGCATTTTCAGCAATGCCAGCCTCTGTACCTTTTCAATATTTTCAGATGTATTTAAGAAAATTAAGTAGAAGTTACTACGAACAATATCCAGCATCTGCGTAAAATATCATAAGTTCATATATTATTATTATTATACAGGATTTATATAGCGCCAACAGTTTGCACAGCGCTTTACAATATAAGGAAGACATTACAATCACAATACAATTCAAGACAAGATGGTAAGGAGGGCCCTGCTCGTGAGGACTTACAATCTAAAAGATATATGCTACTCAAAAGAAGCCATGTTACCTATATACCATATAGTCTTTGACGCCCTTGGTTAATTACATATCTTGCTAGTTTTCTTTGTGATGAGCAGCTAATATAACCTCTGCAAAGAACAAACTAAAACTATACCTGTATAGTAGACCTGACCTCCTTTTATTCCCCGGCTGCCTTGATCCACTGCCAGAGTCAAGATAAGCCTGAGTACTGTAATGTGGGAAGAGGCCCACATTGGTGTAAGTTTGGACTTGGTGTTGCAAGTTCAAGCTAAAGCTGTTCATACACCAACAGAATTGAATGAAATTTTTTTTTCGAACATTCATTTGATTTCATAATATTTAATGGATGAAATCAATACAAACCTGCCGTGTAGGTTGTTTTCTTTAGGAAGCAGCCACAGCCTAAATAGAAAAGCCTGTCCTCTGCTAGAATGCTTTATCAAAGTACCCCAGTTATCTGTGTGAAAGCAGGGTCTCTCCGTAGAGGTCCAACATGCCTCCTACAGAGTCGGAGCTAGAGCTCGCCATACAGCAGGGAGCATGAGATCTGCTGACTGCAGAGTGATAGGTCTGCCCCAGCAAGGGTTGTGTCAGACCACTGCTTCCACAGGAGAGCAGTGGTCCCAGGTTGCCAGGAGCTGGGCGGGATGCCAGCCAGAATAAAAAACAGACCCCCCCCCAGTACTTTTTCCAGTGACAGGTGTTTTCCTGCAGGTGACAGGATGTTCACATGTGAAGAGGTGCCATTGAAAACAATAGACATCCTCTGTTCGAGCTTTGAAGTGCTTAGCCTGTTCAGCTACAAAAAGCCTAGGTGTGAATGGGGACTTCATATACGTTGGGAACATCTTGTGCCTGTGTAAAGTGCATAAGGATGCTTTAGTGAACATACTCTGTGGTCATTTAATTTGTGATTGGTGCCCTGTGCTTGTATATAGTGTTGTGAACACAATAATAATAATAATAATAATGTCTGCCTAGTCAGTACCAAAGTGTGTCTAGAATAATAGTTTTCTTTTCAGTATCTATACTGGTGTAATATAGAGTAGATTTCGGTACATTTACAGAAACAAATAAAAAGGTAATGTCTTGTAGACATTATACTTGTTTGTAAATGATTTTACAGTATAAATACAATTCAGCTCGCTATGTTTTCTTCCATAGATTGTCCCTTTGGCATTTCACAATACCTTTAGCTTAAAAATGGCTACTTTTTATACTAAAATAGTTTTTAATAAAGTAAATGAAGTATTCAACAAAGTTACAGAGAATCACATGTTTGTATATTCAACTGAAATTGACATACAATAAAGAGATTTAATTCCAGACCGCATGTATATCTTCATGTAACTATAGGAGAATGAGCGTGTATGTGAGTGGACTGAACCACAGACAAAATGACTGATTATCAAAAGTTAGGGGAGAAGGGATTTCCTAACCCAACATGTGGAAGTCTCATTTTTCAACACATTGCTACAATTCAGTTGCACCCTTTCGAAATGTGCCAATGGCTAGTTCTGCCATCTGAGAAACACCGAAAAAACTGGAGCATATAACACACATAGATGCCAAGCTGGAAATCCTCAGACCTGAAACATTAAACAATTCTGCCATGACACTGCATTTTCTAAGCCACAGACATGATTTTGTATGTAGCAAAAGGCTGAATCATTGCGTTAGCCAATATGCTATGTTTAAAGTAAATAGTGCAAGTCATTAATCTTACATAAAGCACTGCAGAGACAGTTGTGAAGGATAAACAAGATTAAGTAAGCATCTCATACAAACAGAACGTCAACCTCCGAGATATTTCTTTAACGTATACCGGCTGCTTAGCCCAGTTCTTTCATTTATCAAGACTGAACCTCAGGCCATCTTTTCATGTACCTGTATTTGATTAGAGATGCATTGTGGAGTTATGAAGACAGCAGAACTCAGCAGCTTCATATTAACAGGAGTAAGCTATGTGACTCATGTAGCTCAGCTAACATCCTAATTAAATTGATTAATGAGTGATGAATAGTCAGAGCTGCTTTGGTGGATTATTTTCTGTTTTCTCTTTTTTCTGAATTATTTCTCGCTTTAGAGAATGAAGTCAACTGCGTTATTACCGGTAATTATTTCCAACAGAGTCCTTGCCACATTGTTATTAAATAACCAACCCAATACTAACTCAACGTAGCTTTGTTCCTATACTTTTGCTCTAGGCCACATTACAAGTACTGCAAGGCCATCGGGTGACTCTTGTCTGTGGCCTGAAGAGTTAAATACTTTTGCTTTCTTGTACATGTAAGAATGCTGAGTACCTTAAGTGCAGCTTCTAAACTAAGACTGAAATGCTCAAATAATATAGAATACCACTCCTCTATGAGAGTAAATATGCCAAACACATCATTTTAGATCTACAGCTTTTAAAGTCTATCAATAACCAATATCACTCTCTGCTTTGTAGAATCAAGAGTCCAAACATGCCGCACTACACAGGATCTTGTCCGGAAATAAAAGTCTTTATGGAGCAATAAACACACTGTCCATATCTCCCCTCCTCGATCCTCAACCTCCAATACATTTCATCATTAGGCTTAATCATAGACAGTTGTGTTTACTGCTCCTTAAATAAAGACTTTTATTTTCCGGACAAGATCCTGTGGAGTGCGGCATGTTTGGACTCCTGATTGTTTGAGGTGGAGATGCACTAGTTGCCTGCACCTGGGACGCAGATGTAGTCGGAAGCTGGGATTGGAATTTGAATGGTGTCATGCTTTTTTTGGATCATTTTGCCTCTCTACATGGTGGTGGTCAAATGTAACTTTTCTGTAGTCAAAGAAGTTAGAGTGTCAGTCCATCCAAACCTGATATTTATATATATATATAGATATATATATCTATCTATAGAACTTTGCACGATATTCTAATTATTCGAGTTTCACCTGTATGAACCATGGTGGGCTTCTATTATAATTTGGATATTCCAGCAGTGAGATTCCCCTACCATAATTCCTGAACATATTCCCCTTCACATTTTTCTTTTTTAGCACAACCTGTGGTATTCTACATTAAATAAAATAAACAGAGTGGGAACAGAATGGCCCAACAGGTATATAGAGCCAGGAACTCAACTGCAGATACCTCACCAATAAAGTCATTGCGAAATAAAAGCAATTGGCAGGTGGGTTAACTGCCCAGCATCTACCAAAAACTGATGTATCCCTTTTGGGTGAACTGTCCCCCTTTAAAGGTTATTCGCCACCATAGAATTACTTCACCATAAACATAATCTTAGTTCTTTGTATTCTGTTACTGAATAGCCTGAAGGTGATTGTACAACAAATTTATTTAACACATCAGGTCCAGTGTTCGCTGCGTTTATTTCTGCAACTAGCATATATCCACCAACAGGTACAAATACTGAGGATAATTCACTAAAGAAACAGGGACTGTTCACTTTGAAAAGTAAATATTCACTTGTGAACGTTCACTTAACCATGTGAATAAGGTGAAGCTTTGTTTACTTTACATACCCAATCATGTGTGAGGCAAATCAAAAGTTTTTCTGCATGCACAACTGGATACATGATGTACACACAACTGTACCTAATTCACCAAGCTATGTGAACATTCACTCTAAGTGAACAGGCTCTAATCCTTTAGTAAATCACCCCATTGCAGTATATTATCTTAAGGGGCATCAGGCAGTGTAAAACACACTTGGTATTATACTGCCAACAAGGAAATGGACATAAAAAGAGTGAACATAGGATGCTACAAAAAGTACATTTTAAAATTGGACTAGAGGGAAACAGCTAAAACCAGTTAAAATACATGTATGTGAACTGTTCTTCCTGCCAAAGGATTTGTAATTCTATGCAGCCAGTCTTTCGATTCAGATATCACTACCAAGCAGCACTGACAAAATGCAATGTTTTGCTTATGGTGGTGGCTGGGGGCTAGGTGGGACGTGGCACAAAACTAGAGCAATAGTAGGTAACATACCTCAGCACTCCAGCTGTGCTGAAACTAATAATCCCATCATGCCTCTGCCTCTGGGAGTCATGCCTGGGACTGTTAGAGTTTTGAAATGCCTCCTGGGACTTCCACAATAGCTGGAGTGTCCAGGTTACCTATCCCTAATCTAGGCAGCTGGGATGTTA